TATGGATTGAGTGATTTCAGTTTTACCAGGTTTCTTATGGATTGAGTGATTTCAGTTTTACCAGGTTTCTTATGGATTCAGTGATTTTAGCTTTGTCAGTGAATGATAAAATATTTAAAACCAGTTTGTAGAAATGACGTAATCCGTATAGTAGACAGTATCTAAAAGAGTTTAAATTATCCATCAGACTGTTCGACTATTATTACAAAAAAAATCTTTCATGTTTAATGTGTGTTAGAACGATATCAGAAGTGTTTTACTTTTCTACGTTAGTATTGTGGCCTGTTTACCTGATGTGAAATGTTCTTTTTATCAGATTTTGTATTGTTGTTTTCTCTTTAGTTTACTTTGACCAAACTGTAAACATTACATACTGCAGTATTAATCTGTTTATTCACTTATAATTTATTGATTGTCAAAACAATTGTACGGGTTCTCTAGTATTTTACTTTACAAAATAAAAACTACATCAGATATAACAAGATTCTGTAAACATTTCTTAGTTTTTTTTAAATATAGAATACGTAATACAAGATGATAAGTCGCTTGTAAGTTCCTGATCAGGTTATCTGCATGTAGAGAGAGAGAAAAATTAAAATGTAAACACAGTTATGTATACAAAAACAAAATGCTTTCAAGATACCATACAACACATCATATACGTTATTCCAGCCTACACAGGTTTTTAATATGCCACAACTGTTCTTATTTTCAAGATACAATAACCAAAGTAAAAAGAATGTTAACTGTTGAGACAATCAAACAGAACATAATTTTTAAAATACATCAGTAAATTCAGTTCTTGTTAATAGACTACTGGTCGACACCTTTGTGTTCAATCGTACAAATTTTTACTGTAAACAGAAGACGATAAGTGGAGTTAAATATTGATGTGATTTGTTAATGATTGCTGGAGGTATAATAAACGTAGAGATATCCTGAATATCACAACCAAACTTTTATCAAGTTACGTTGCTCAAAGTAGCCAGTTCTAAAATACTGTAAAGTTACGTTGATAATATTGTATTAAACTATCTATTAATCTTATTGATTACAGGGGCACGTATGTTATGGGAGAAGATAGGGGAGACATGTGACCTTCCCAATTATTCCAGAATACAGTATAATCACATATATGATGATAGACGTTTTCGTTACCCACAAATAAAAGGAAAAGTTTAGAACTAATGTTCTAAATATAGTATAATCACATATCAGAAGGTGATCGACGTTTCTTTACCCACAATAAAAGGAAAAGTTTAGAACTAATGTTCTAAATATAGTATAATCACATATAAGAAGGTGATCGACGTTTCTTTACCCACAATAAAAGGAAACGTTTAGAACTAATGTTCTAAATATAGTATAATCACATATAAGAAGGTGTTTGACGTATCTTTACCCACAAATAAAAGGAAACGTTTAGAAGTAATGTTCTAAATATAGTATAATCACATATAAGAAGGTGTTTGACGTTTCTTTACCCACAAATAAAAGGAAAAGTTTAGAACTAATGTTCTAAATTTTGTATAATTACATATAAGAAGGTGATCGACGTTTCTTTAGCCACAATAAAAGGAAACGTTTAGAACTAATGTTCTAAGTATAGTATAATCACATATAAGAAGGTGATCGACGTTTCTTTACCCACAATAAAAGGAAAAGTTTAGAACTAATGTTCTAGATATAGTATAATCACATATAAGAAGGTGATTGACGTTTCTTTACCCACAATTAAAAGGAAAAGTTTAGAACTAATGTTCTAAATATAGTATAATCACATATAAGAAGATGGCCGACGTTTCTTTACCCACAATAAAAGGAAAGGTTTAGAGCTAATGTTCTAAATATAGTATAATCACATATAAGAAGGTGATCGACGTTTCTTTACCCACAAATAAAAGGAAAGG